CCGGGAAAATTAATTTTTTTTTTTTGGGGGGGGGGGGGGGGGGGGGAGAGGCCGTGTGCCGCTGCAGCTGGCGTTGGGTTGCCTGTGCGCGCACAGCCTTTTTGTCTCGTTTGCACCTGTTGTGCCTACCTGCCCGTGGCCTTGTCTCTGTGAAAACATCATCGATGCATCCTTATCCTTCGGCGGGCTCATGGATGGCGCGCGTGTATGTGTCGTCAGGGTTCCCACGATGCAGCAGCAGGACGCGCTGAAACACCTGACGGCGGAGCAGAAGTGGGAGACGGTCGTGACCGAGCGAGCGAAGACCAAGGGGGGTGGCAGCCGACGAGGGTCTACGGGCGGGATAAGTGAGGACCAAAAAAAATAAATATATATATATATAGAGAGAGAGAGGATGGAAATATAGCGAGGTCGACACATCTTGGTTATTGGCGTGGGCCCAAGAGAGAGAGAGAGAGATGTAGCTGAGGTGTGCTGCAGATGCTTTTTTTTTTTTTTTGGTTCGAAGGAGAAAGGTAAAAGTAGGCGGCAGACGCCTTGTGGTTATTGGTTTCGGGGCAGGCATACTACGGAGACAGGTTAGAGAAACGAGACGAAAATATACCCTGTCGTTGGCGTTAGATTTGGTCCGCCGGGAAATGTGCGACAATAACAGCAACAGCGAGCAGCACGTGACGACGTGGATGGCGTTGTGGTTGCTGTCGTTGTTGTGAGCACGACGGGAGGATGCTGCTGCCGCTGTTCCTCCCCTGTTCCGATTCACCGACCGGCCAAGCGCGAGGGCGAGCAACGGCGGTGCATGCGCCGCCCGCCCGCATGCAACTGCAGTTTTTTGCTGTTTCAAGGACCGCTTCCTCTTCGCACTCTCGCGCACGCGCTGACTTGACATGACGACGACTGCTCTGCGTACCGCCCTGCTGCTGCTGTTGTTGCTGCTGCTGCTGCTGCTGCTGCTGGTGTTGCTGCTGTTCCTGTCACTGCTTTTGCTGCTGCCGCCTCTGCTGTTGCTGCTGCCGCCGCCGCCGCTGTGTGCGCTGCCTTCTTCTGCAAGCAGCACCCAGCGGGCGCGTGTCCTCCCGCTCCGTGCTGCCCTCGAACGACGCCGAGAGCACCGCGGTGGACTACGCGGAGCAACTCCTCTCCCCGGGTATGCCGCCGCTCGACGAGATCAAGGACCTCAAGGTGTGTTTTTGTGACGGTACTGGATGGTTGTAGCTGTATGAAAAAATACACTGAAAAGTGTAGTACCTACTCTACATTCCCAAAGGTGTAGTGTACACGTCTCACCACGAAAAGTGGGGGGACTGCTGTCGCCACAATACATAAGACGAAAACACAACAATAGTGAGAGGAAGAGAGGGGGGGGAAAGTGTACTCGTGCAAACGCTTGCCGTTGTCGTCAGACCATTGACCTCGCGTGCCGGGACGGAGGGGCGATATACCGGCCCAGGCCACGTTTCACGAGGGTGAACCAGAAGGTGGTCATCATCCGCGCGCAGGGGGAGGAGGGGGGCGTGCTCATGTTTAGCATGCCTTAGACGGTTGATCACGCGTCTTTGGAGAGGACAGGGCGTGGGGTAGAACGACGGCGTCGCTTGCGAGGGAGGTTCCCCCGAGGTAGTATATACCCTCAAGCGCGAGGCGACCCCCCCCCCCCCCCCCCCCCCCCCCCCCCCCTTTTTGGGTGTTGTGTTTTTTTTTCGCTTGGGGGCGCCGCCCACCACGTTGTTTTTTTTTTTTTGTGGGGCGGGGGGAGGCCCCCGGTTG